AAGCACAAGAGCCATTCTTTCCAAGCCTCATAGTTCAGTATTTTTTTTTTTTCATAGTTCAGTATTAAAGAACAGAAAGAGCACTACATCACAGTATGACATTAATAGTTATAAGGCTCCAAGTAAAAAGAGACAAGGACATGCCCTAGCCGGTTTGGCTCAGTGGATACAGTGTTGTCCTGCGGACTGAAAAGTCCCAGGTTCGATTCCAGTCAAGGGCATATGCCCAGGTTGTGGGCTGGATTCCCAGTAGGGAGTATGCAGGAAGCAGCTGATCAATGATTCTCTCTCATCATTGATATTTCTATCTGTCTCTCCCTCTCCCTTCCTCTCTGAAATCATTAAAACATACTTTAAGAAAATAAAAAGAAGGACTTGAAAATAAGAATGAAGAACCCAAATCAAGAATCCAAACTATAGCCTTAACCAGTTTGGCTCAGTGGATAGAGCATTGGCCTGCGGACTGAAAGATCCCAGGTTCGATTCCGGTCAAGGGCATGTACCTGGGTTGCAGGCACATCCCTAGTGGAGGGTGTGCAGGAGGCAGCTGATCGATGTTTCTCTCTCATCGATGTTTCTAACTCTCTATCCCTCTCCCTTCCTCTCTGTAAAATATCAATAAAATATATATCTTTTTAAGAAGAAAAAGAATCCAAAGTATAGAATGATGCTGCATTAGATAGAAACTAGAATCAATCAGCAAACCTACCCATGGATCCATAACACTTGGATTCTTTACCTGTGGCCGTTGCTTGTGCTGTGTCTGGTTTTGGTTTTGAGGTTGTTCCCAGTTTCCCCGGGCTCGGTTCGTGCCCACCGACGTCATCATTTACAGTATATACAAATAACAGTATTTACAAGGTAGAATACTGAAAGATTAAAAAAAAGTTTAGATATTAAATACAGGCAAAATGAGGGCTTTTAACCTCTCATCAGCATCTCCACTAAACACTTTCAGTTCTTCAAAGAAATAAACCAAGAGGATTCACCTGTTCAGAGAAATTTAGTTTGGCAAATTCCTTATGAAACTATGGATTTTAATCCATTTTTGTATAAGAAATGTATAAAGCATCTGTTAAATAATGTGGGTTTTTTAAGTTATGAGCACAGTTTGGTTACTCGTCTCCTATAAGCAGGTTTTGTGAAGTTTTGCTATCTTAGTAGTAGACAAAAATATCTCAAGTCCCTTTGACATAAAGGAAAGATAAAGACTGGAAACAAGTCTTCCAGGAAGAGGATTAGTCTGTACTCAATTCACCTATGAAAACAGGCTTACCTGCCTTACAACCCTTTGAGTTGCATGTGACCTCCATCATTTAAAAAAGCACAAACTCAAGTCTAGCTTCTTTCTCCCTTAAGTTTCTATCTCTTGGCATGCTGTGGGGTTTCCATACTTTCCACAAGGCATATAAGAGCCCCCAGTGACTTTGCCCAGAGCCTCAGTTCCCTGGATAATTCCAACACACTGCTTTTGCAGCTGCTTCTGTTGATCTCCTAATCCACAGTCCAAGAAACCAGAATTAAAATTACTCTCCACCACTCACCTTGATATACAGAGAATCCCAAACCCAAATCATCTAGCAGCACAAAGTTTTATTTGGAAGAAAGGGCTTCTGGGAAATCATTTTAAACTTGAGACATTATTGCAGGGCAAGATGACTTAGTAAACAAAGAAAACATTCATCACACGATGGAGTGCTCAAGATAAGGTTATTCCGCATTGTTTTATTCCCTTCCAAGGAGTAAAAGTTTATGATTTATGCTCATTTACTTATTTATTAATTGGTTAATTCTAGACTGCTCAGAAGACATTGCTGGATTTGAGGTAGAACTAGAGTGGGCTCCTAAAGAAATATGCAAGGAATAACTATTAGGAAAGTGAATTTCACCTGCTTCTTGGTTCACAAAAAAAGTTGACTTCCTTATGGATAAATTTTTCACCAAGTTCGGTAACAGGTTGGATAGGTCTCTGTTTTGTGATGCAGTCATTAAGAATTAAGAATTCTACATCCTCTATCACTAAGAAAGAGTTTAAGGGACTAATTTTTAACCACTACCTCTCCCCTCACACACATGTGCACAAAGACCTATAAATATTTCTGGCTTAGTAAGGGATTATTTACTACACAGTAGTACAGTTTCCCAGGCTGGCATTATAATCAAGTTTCAATACTTAATTTACAAAAACAAACAACAAAAATCTGTTGTTTAACCAAGTACCCCTAGATTCAACTAAAAGTGGGAGGGGGGAATTAAAATTAGAAGGAAACCGTTATGCTTAATAACTGGCTCTAAGATGTAGTTTCTAATACGGGGATAGCCATTCCTGTAGCTTACAACTATTGACTGCTTTCTACTCCACATGTGATTTCAATTTGTGAGCATGATTTACACTACAGCTATGGATTGCATGACTAGCTAGCTATGTGGACAACTGTACATACTGTACCAATTGTTGTAAATACATTAAAAGTCATATTGGAAGCCACATAATCATTCAGGAAAGGGGGGGGGGATCCTCCTGATCACTCCTACTATTGATTTCTATTTTTCTATTACAAGTGTTTTAAAAAGTGTGACTAAGAAAATTTTACCACCTAGGTAATAACACTGAGCAACAGGTAAGCGATCTGGGATGGAGCACTAGAGGTCACAGAATTAGTAGCCTTTCAGTAGCAAGCAGACACATACCCAGAGTTATCACAGTGAAGGTGAGCAATCTTGTTAAATACTCCTTCTTAAAAAATAAAACAGTTTAAGGGAAATAGGTGAGAAGTATTGGAGACCAAGGGACTAGTGTGGGAACAAATACAGGTTTCAACACAGGAGTGCCCTTGACCATTTTTTTGAAAACCAGCTACTTAAAAAAATAGCCAGAGAAATTTTACAGAAAAAAATAAATAACAAGTATTTATTGAGTATCTACTGTGTCCAGTGCTTGAGAAAATACAAAAGCAATATGACTCGGTTGCTGCCCTCAAGGAGCTTACAATCTAGTTTGAGAAACAATTCCGGGACCCTGAAGCTGGACAGGGGCCGGTAAGGCTTCCTACTTCTTACAAAGTAACTAACTCCCCTAGATGCTTTGTGGTACTGGCCCCTTCCTCTCCTTCCCATGAACTGCAATCGAATGGCTGAAAATAGTCCTTCCCAGCTAGGACATGTTTAATAAGGACGGGGCTTTAAAAATAAAGAGCAAACGGTACACTGTAAATCCTTTCATCATTAGTTTACATGCCAGAAACACTTCCTGTTCATAACGGAAATAATCACTGGCGTAATCTAATCTTTAAAGACAATGGTGTGGGGTCTCAAAGCAGTCTGGTCAACCCTTACTCGGCCAAGGCGGTCCAGTGCTCAATGAATGCTGGTGGTCACCGGCCCTCGTCCCCTCCCATCCAGTTCCATCCCATCAAACACCCCCCAGGCAAGACACGGGCGGTGGGAGGGGGACGGGGGAAACACAGAAAGCACTTCTCCACCGAATAACCAGGGACAGTCCAAGGCAGCACGACAAGAACAAGAGAAACACCTATTCCTGCGTTGTTTTTCTTTCCACAACATCCTACACCGGAGGTGGCCACATTTCAAGAACGGTGGCAAAGGAGCCGTCTCCTGTTTGTGACATCAGCTCGCAGAGCCAACGTAGGGGCTGCCCGTCGGGGGAAGGGGCTGGGGAAACGTCTCGTTACGGTCCCATTATGAGAACAGCGAGCACCCCGGTGCTCTAGTGACGTCCCTTCGGCGGAAGGCACCCCGATGGGGGCCTCCACGTCCAGCTTCCCACAAATAACAGCATCATGTCGGGGGCTGGGGGGGGGGGGGGTACACCAAACTCCAGTATGGACAACAGAAAGCTAGAGACGGCAGCAAAAAAGACATAGACCCCAGGAGCTGGGGCGGTGAGGAAGGAGGAAGGGCAACAAGAAGAGCTGACAAAGAAGCTGGGAACGGAGCGGGGACGCAAGCCCACGCGTTCAGGATGAAAGGCTCGCCCCGCTCCGCAGCGCCCCGTCGCCTCCTTCCCTCCCACCCGGAACCATCCAACCCCCCGCACTCCGAACTGAGGACCACATGAGCGAGTCCGGGGCAGCTCCACCCCGGCGCCCTCCCTCCCCTCCGCCACCCCCAAACCAGGCCGGATCCGGATCAGAAGAGGCCCACAGTGGGTCGGAAAGGGAGGAGGCCCCCTCGTCTTCTCCACAGGCACCGGCAGGGGCAGCGAGGGCCGTACCTCGGGCGGGGCCCAGGTCTCGCTCGCTCGCTCGCGCTCTTTCTCGCTCTCCCCCACCTCAGGCTCTAGCCGCATGCCCCCCCCCCTCCGGCTGCCCCAAGCCCCGCCCCGGCCACGCTCCCAAATCGAGGCCCCGGCTCTGGTGAGGCCCACTAGGCCGCGAACCCAACCATAAACAAAACCTCCGGCGGCCGACTCGGGGGGGGGTAGCCAGGGCTCTCACGACTTGGGGGGAGGGGGTGTACAGTGGGGGAACACACGGTGCGGGGGGGGGCCTACCAAGGGAGGGGAACACGGCGGGGGTAGGAGAGAAAGGAGGAGGATAAAAGGGGGATCGCGGATTTAAAGGGGCCGCGGACAATACCCGGCCCCGCCGCGCTGCCGCTGCCGCCGCCGCCGCCGCCAACGCCGCTGCGCTCCCAACTTTACCTCAGTCTCCTCCACACTGACACCCCCGGGCCGCGCCGCCCCTGTCACGTGATATAAGGTTCCCTCCTCCCCGCCCCCATCCCTCCTTTTCCCTCTCGCGCTCGCTCTCGCGCCTTGCCCCTCCCACTTGCCTTCCTGCGTCCCCCAGCACGTGACGCAAAAGGGACGCGCACGCCGGCGTGCGCGTGTCGCCACGCCACGAGACACCGCTCCCCCGCCTCCTCCACGTAGGCCACGCCCCCTCCACGTGATGCACAGGTGGCCTTCGCTTCCTCTTACTGGCGTAGTTCCGCGTCTCCGCTTCCACCGCTCCCGGCTGCCTTTGCGCGCCTGAGTCACGTGTTGGGGGAAGCGGGAAGGTGTCGTTCCTCTTTCCCCGCCTCCCCCGTCCGCCATGTTTTCTGGCCGGGTCATCCTTGGTCTTTCCGCGTAAGGAAATGGCCGGGGGGTTTCAGAGAACCCAGGCGCCGTTGCCTCGGAGGAGCCCGGGCTGACGAGGCCGGGCAGCGGGGTAAACCGGAGCAGTTCTGCGCGGGGTGGGGAGGCCATGGCGTCCAGCAGCAACTGGCTGTCGGGGGTGAATGTCGTGCTGGTGATGGCCTACGGGAGCCTGGTGAGATTTCCCGACCCTATTCCTGCTGTTGCGTAGTAGAGCCCCTCCCGGTGAGCAGTTCCTTGTCCGCATTCTGCACCCACTCACCTGCATTTTCTCTGGGTTTTGACCCCTATCCCGGGAGTACCTGGGGGCGTAAGTCACCGACTCGTGCTGCCCCGCCAATGGCCAAGAGCCCTCCCTCTGAACCCTGAAACAGAGAGCACCCCTCGCCTCCGCCTGCCGGCTTCCTTTTACCCACCCCTGCTCTGATGGCCTTGCTGTCCCCGGTTACACCCCCCCGCCCCCCCGCAAAGCCTCCCGGAGAGCCTGAATGAAGGGCATGCCTTTTATTCTTTTCACTGTCTTCAGATTCTTTACTTCTCTCATATCTTTTGGACAGGTGTTTGTGCTGCTGTTCATTTTTGTGAAGAGGCAAATCATGCGCTTTGCAATGAAATCCCGAAGGGGACCTCACGTCCCTGTGGGACACAATGCCCCCAAGGTAGGTCCTGCAGGCCCCGGGTGGGCGTGGCTTCCCAGATCCGTTCGGCCCCGGAATGAGATTTCCTTTTGGGAACGACTTTTTTTTTTTTTTTTTTTTTAACATATTTTATTGTTTGTTTTTTTTACAGAGAGGAAAGGAGAGGGATAGAGAATGAGAAACAACTATGAGAGAGAAACATCGATCAGCTGCCTCCTGCACACCTCCCACTGGGGATGTGCCCGCAACCAAGGTACATGCCCTTGACCGGAATCGAACCGGGGACTCTTCAGTCCCCAGGCCCACGCTCTATCCAGTGAGCCAAACCGGCGAGGGCGGGAACGACTTTTAAGTCCCTCCTTTTCTTGTCCAGTTGCCCACGTTACCTTGGTAGACTGAGCAATAGCTGTCAGTTTGGGGGCTGGCTTACCTGCTCACCCTGTGGCATGTAGCTTCCCCAGGAACTTCAGTTTCTGCATCTGCAGAATGAAGGGCTTGGGGTAAAATTCCCAACTTTTGTGTTAAGATACCTCCCAGGACAAATTAAACTACCCAGTGTTTTCTGTTTGTTTGGTGTGTTGTTGTTTTTTAAATTTTGTTTTAGGATGGGGTTAGGGTGGTTAAAATTAGCCCCAGCACAATAAAAGTTGCCTCTTGCAGAACTTCAGATTTATAAGGGCTCCCTTAGTCATCCAGTTCCAGCGCTCACAGTTAGAAAGTAAAACCTAAGAAAATGAAACAGTTTAGCCAAAGACATTTTAGAAAGTGAATAACTACTTCTTAGGGGATTGCCTTCCTTTCCTTGGCCTAGTTATTTATCTACCGATGAAATTTAATCTCTATCCCAGACCTCTTTCCTGAGTTCCATACTTAACGTATCCAACCGCCTGCCTAACACTTAGATGTCTTATAGGCATGTCACACCTACCTGTCTACATCAGAGCTCTTGATAACCCACCTCCATCCCCACCCTGCTGTGTGTTTCTGCCTTCCACTTAGAGCAGTGGTTCTCAACCTTCCTAATGCCGCGACCCTTTAATACAGTTCCTCATGTTGTGGTGACCCCCAACCATAAAATTATTTTCGTTGCTACTTCATAACTGTAATTTTGCTACTGTTATGAATCATCATGTAAATATCTGATATGCAGGATGTATTTTCATTGTTACAGATTGAACATAAAGCATAGTGATTAATCACAAAAACAATATGTAATTATATATGTGTTTTCCGATGGTCTTAGGCAACCCTGTGAAAGGGTTGTTCGGCCCCCAAAGGGGTCCAACCCACAGGTTGTCGACCCACAGGTTGAGAACTGCTGACTTAGAGTAAAAGACACCTGTTGCCCTTACCAACCTCTTCTTGTGTGGTTCTCCCTTCATCGCTGGAACCCAGCTACAGTGGTTGAATTTTCCACTTTTCCATGCGCTGTTACTGTGATGACCTATTGGTCTTCCCTTGACTAGCTCATTTGTTCTTTAGATCTTAATTTAAATATTATTTCCTCCAAAGAGGAATGCTTAGTACCTATTTAAAATAGGTCCTCCTCTTTGTTTCCTCATAGTCCCCTGATTTTTTCTTAGATAGCATTTTACCACTAATTTTCTTTTATGCTTAGTTTTCTATTTGTTTAATGCCTCTCTCTTCCATTAAACTTTAAGTTTCAAGAATGCAGGCCCCATACCAGTTTTGTTCACCACTGTAAAGTCAGGATCGACACATGTTAGGTACTCAACTCATTTTAAGTGAAAAGCAGGTTAGTGGGAGAGCTAGAGCTAGTACACAACTCTCAATCCTAGACCAAAGTTCTTTCATTAACCAGTGCTATTAACCCTCCCCTCCTTATTCTTTGGTTATATATTCCATGGAAAACCTCAAGAAAGATGCCATGGCCTGAAATGTCAGCAGAACTCCTTAACATTCCCGTAGATCCCCAAATGCCTGCCCACTTCCATAAGGATTAGGGTTGGCTTCCAGTATATCGTGAGCCAATCAAAACTTGGACTATCTAGAAGCCCCATGGACTAGATGAGAGCAAGGTTCCTTTTGCTTTTAAATATCTAAATTTTCACCCATTGTTGGTGGAAGTAAAAATTAGTTAAACCACTGTGGAAAATAACTGGGCATTATCTAGTGAGATTGTACAGGTTCCTAATCCACAGCTCAGCAATTCTACTCCTACCATAGAGAAATTAATTTTGCTCATGTGTACCAAAAGATATGTACAAGATTATTTATAGCAGCATTGTTTGTCATACAGTAAGCCGTCGATTTAAGGGACTTCAGATTTAATGAACAAAATTTCCAGTCCATGTGTCATGTGTGAAAATTAACACCTTGTTAATTTTAAAATGCTTTTAACCAAGATTTGTTTATAATTACCAGGTTACTTTGTGTTCTTAATTTAGTTATTTTTAACAAATTTTAGCAAACAGGCCATACGTTGAAAAAAACACTGTAGTGATTTTATCAACATAAATATTACATATCTACAACTATAGTCTACATATTTAAATCTAAGAGTCACCGCTTTTTACAATGTTCAGCAAATGATTAGCACGCGGTCACACCACATTGTTCATGGTAATTGGTTCTGTTGTCGAGTAACATGACTTTCTGCAGTAGTTTTAACTAGTGTGCTAAGCCACACCCCAGCCATGTGTATTTGTTTACTCTCCATAACTGCTAAAGGTGCAAATTTATTAGATCAGTATAAATTTAAAATTACTGTAATATATATGTAGAAAACTTCTCTCTGAAGTTAAGCTTCTCATACATAATTTTAATTAAACGTAGCTACATAAGTAAAAATGGGAAAAGTAATTTGTCCATTTTTAACATACACATTCAGAAAACCTGTTTTTATTATATAACTTTCGGCTTTAATGGACATCCCCTTGCCCAAATTAGTCCATTATATCCAGATTTTACTGTATTTTAAAAAGAAATTGCCTTGGCGGGTGTGGTATGGTGGTTAAAGTGTCAGCCCGCTCACCGAAGGGTTGCAGGTTTCATGCTCACTCAAAGGCACGTAGCTGGGTTGTAGAGTCCATCCCTGGCCCCACTGGGGAGAATTCAAGAGGCAACTGATCAGTGTGTCTCTGTCACATTAATGTTTCTCTCAGTCTTTCTCTTTCCCTCTCCCCCCTTTCCTCCCTCCCTCCCCCACTCTCTAAAAATCAACGGAGCCCTAGCAGGTTTGGCTCAGTGGATAGAGCATCAGCCTGCAGACTGAAGGGTCCCAGGTTCGATTCTGATCAAGGGCACATGCCCAGTTTCGGGCTCAATCCCCAGTAGGGGGCGTGCAGGAGGCAGCCAATCAATGAATCTCTCTCATCATTGATGTTTCTATCTCTCCCTCTCCCTTCCTCTCTGAAATCAGTAAAAATATATATTTTTAAAAATCAATGGAAAATATATTCTCAAGTGAGGATTAACAAAAAAAGAAAAATTAAAAAATATATATTTTCATATTTCAGTGGCTGGAATTAAAACAAACTGCCCTGACCGGTTTGGCTCAGTGGATAGAGCATCGGCCTGCGGACTGAAGGGTCCCGGGTTCGATTCTGGTCAAGGGTATGTACCTTGGTTGCGGGCACATCCCCAGTGCGGGGTGTGCAGGAGGCAGTTGATCGATGCTTCTCTCTCATCGATGTGTCTAACTTTCTATCCCTCTCCCTTCCTCTCTGTAAAAAATCAATAAAATATATTTTAAAAAACAAAAACAAAAAACAAACTTCCATAAATAAAATAAATAAAAATTTTATTGATTTCAGAGAGGAAGGGATGAGGGAGAGCGATAGAAACATCAACGATGAGAGAGAATCATTGATCGGCTGCCTCCTGCACAACCCCCACTGGGGAAGGAGCCTGCAACCAGAGTGCCTCAACTGGGAATTGAACCATGACTTCTGGTTCATAGGTCTGCACTCAACCACTGAACCATCCAGCTGGGCGGGGGCGATCGTTAATCTAAATGTCTACTGAGAATGGCGCTCTCTATATATAAAAGGCTAATACGCTAAGTGTTTATCCCACCGGTTGCTATGACACGCACTGACCGGGGCGGCAGATGCTCAATGCAGGAGCTGCCGTGACGTGCACTGGCCATTTACAAAGAAACGGCACCATGGACCTGGTGCCGACAAAGCAACACTTGGCTTCCCCCAAATGGAACACAGGCCCCACCACCACCCCTGAGCAACAGCCCACCAAATCGCAGTCAACACTGTCAAGACCCCGTGGCACAAAACACGGCCCACAGCCCAGCCCAGAAACGTTCACTGTGGGTGCTGGGTAATGATGTCACGTAGCAATGACCAGCTTCCTCTCTCTAGTGACTAGACTCCTTGGAGTTTCTTCAGCCCAGGAACACGACTCGCTTTACAGCCAGGTGCAAACATTTTACAGCTTCACCAAATGTCTGTGAAGAATTTTCCCATGTCTCATCTCATCTGATTTTCACAGAAGTCCTGGAGTAGGTAGATAGGAGACTCGGTAGAATCCTATTTTCTTTTCATTAGCCGGGTAATGGATATTTAGAGAAAGTTTAGAAACTTGACCTGACTGAAAAGAAGTAAGAAATGGTGGACCTTGAAAATGACTTAAGGTTTTCTCACTGCGCAGAATATAGTCAAACACTGCTGCAGTTAAATATTTTATCCTTTGTTCTCCCTGCGTGATCTACAATAATAATCTGCTTCATGTTGATATTTACTGCTGTGTTGCTGACAATTACCTGAAAGAGAAGTTGGGGTGCTTCACTGAGCTGGAAAAGGTTTAGCTAAATCAGAAAGCAGGTCTAATTAAGCAAGTTTATTCTATATCTATAAAAGGCTAAGTTGACTCGTGCATGCATGATACATATAAAGCTCTTGCTGGCGCCAATCACACACATGTGTTTTGATCTGTCATTGTCAATTGTGAATTTGGTTGACACTTCTATTATAGAGAAAGGGCAAATAGCGATATTAAAATATTTCTTCTAATCAATTTACTTTCAATGTGTACGAATCTGTGCACCAGGCCACTAATATCTATAAACAGGGAATCTGCTAATTAGCCAAGCATCATGACCGCTCCAGAGGAGGCTGCATCACGACCACTCAGGAGGAGTTGTGCACACAGATGGGCAAGAGAGGACTGCGTGCCGCCCCCACCCCAGTGGCCAGGGGGCGGGGGCTGGGGGCAGACTAGAGTGGAAACACAACACACGGAGAGGCTGGGGCTGGGGCCGGGCTGGAGGGGAAACACAACACACAGGAGCACCTGCCCCCACCCCAGCAGACACAACATACTGCCAGGGGCATGTTCCGAGCTGCCACCACACGGCTCAGAGCACACCTCCACCCCAGCCAAAACAATGCGGTGGCAGGGGCTACGCGGGGGCAGTTGTGGGTCCCAGCCCCCCGCGGGGTGCCTCCTCCCACGATTTCAATCAGGCACTGGGCCTCTAGTAATATTCTATATAATAAACGGCTAATATGCAAATCAAGTGAACGGCAGAACAACCAGTCGCTATGATGTGCACTGACCACCAGGGGAGCGCCTCTCAGCCAGAAGCTGGGCTCACAGCTGTTGAGCACAGCAGTGGTGGTGGAAACCTCTCCCGCCTCTGCGACAGCGTAAAGATGTCCGACTGCCGGTCTAAGCCATCAGTTGGACATCATTCGAGGGCTCCCAGACTGCAAGAGGGCACAGGCCAGGCTGAGAGACCCTCCCTCGCCCCCACCCCCACCCCCCAGTGCACGAATTACATGCACCAGACCTCTAGTATAGTTATATTCTGGAATACTATAGGAAGTGAAAATAAACTGAGGTAAATACATGAACACTAATGAAGCTCCAAAGTATTTGTGAATGTAAGTCACAAACGTGAATGAATCTTGAAAACATTCTGAGTGAAAAAAGCCATTCACAAAAACATACCATATGATTCCACTCCATTTATTTCTTTTATTTTTTTGATTTCAGAGACTTGAGGGAACGAAAGATAGAACCATCAATGATGAAAGAAAATCATTGATCAGCTCCCTCCTGCACGCCCCCTACTGGGGATCAAGCCCACAACCTGGGCATGTGCCCTTGACCAGAGTCGAACCCAGGACCCTTCAGTCCGCAGGCTGACACTGTATCCACTGAGCCAAACCGGCCAGGGGTAATTCTATTCCATTTATATGAAATTCTAGGACAGGCAGAACTGTATTGATAGAAAGCACATCAGTGTTGCCCAGTGGGAAAGGTTGACTGCAAATGATTATCCAGAACATTCTGGGGTGATGGAAATGTTCTGTATCTTTTTTTTTTTTAACCCTCATCCAAGGATATGCTTTTCATTGATGAGAGAGAGAGGAAGGTAGAGGGAGAGAAATATTGATTGGTTGGCTTGCCTGCAGTACCTGCCACAACAGAGGATTGAACCAGCAACCTGGGTACATGCCCTGACCAGGAACCAAATCCATAATCCTCTGTGGCACCCAGGACAATGCTAACCAACTGAGCCACACCAGCCAGGGCATGTTCTGTATCTTGATTGGAATGGTGATTGGGTATATTCATTTGTCAAAACTCATCCACCTACACAAATGGTTGCATTTTGTTGCATGTAAATTCACCCTCAATAAAGGTTATTTAAAATTTTGAAAGACAAATTACAGATTCAAAATATTTTTTCCGCCCTGGTCAGTGTTCTATAATGGTTAGAGTGTCAGCCCAGGAAGCGAAGGGTCACAGGTTCGATTCTGGTCATCAGCAAGTACCTGGATTGCAGGTTCCCCGCCTAGGATGGGACTTGGGCGGGAGGCAGCCAATTGATGTGGCTGTCTCACATCAATATTTCTCTCTCCTCTCTCCACTCTCTAAAATCAGTGGAAAAAATGCCCTCCAGTGATGATCAACAACAACAAAAAGCCCTCTACTTTTGTATCTGGTACTTCCAGATGAATAGGATGCAGCAATATGACCTTGTATCCAGAGAAATTTCCTTGTTTTCTGGTGATGGAACCACTTGTGATATGCTGGTATTGTACAGGCACTATGGTGCCATCCCTCACACTTAGGAAGACCCAGGACACAAAGATGAATATCCAGGACTTAAAAGAGGACCCAATTGATATCTGTGAAACTGGAAGCAAGGTATGTGCTGGTAGGAAAGCATCCACAATGGCTTTGGCAGGATCAGGCTCACGCAGCTGATTCCTTTCCATGGATTTTCTTTGTCACCAACACTCTCCAATGGTCATGAGTACTTTTATTTATTTCACCTCTTGCACATACCTTGCTTCCAGTTTCACAGATATCAATTGGGTCCTCTTTTAAGTCCTGGATATTCATCTTTGTGTCCTGGGTCTTCCTAAGTGTGAGGGATGGCACCATAGTGCTACATATATGCAAATTTGCAACACATTCGCAAATTTGGAACAAATTTGCAACAAAATGGAATTTTCCTCTTTTCACCTTGTTTAATTGGTTTTGAATGGTCCCTTGTAGCTTATAAGACCAGTGTGGTACTTCAACTACCATATGGAACGCATCCTTATCTGTAAAATTGGGATATCATGAAATAGAGATGTGTATTGTCCTTTTTTATTTTTAGGTTTTTACATTTAGAGGGAGAGGGTGAGAGAGAAACATCAATGTGAAGCATCAGTCATCTGCCTCCTACATGCCATGCCCCCTACCCAGGTATGTCCCCTGACCAGAAATCGAACTGTCAAATTGTCCATTGCATGGAACGGCACCCAACCAACTGACCCACACCAGCCACGGCTGTCCTTTTTAATTTTTCTCTTTTTTAATATACATTTTATTGATTTCAGAGAGGAAGGGAGAGGGAGAGATAGAAATATCAGTGATGAGAGAGAATCATTGATTGGCTGCCTCCTGCACGCCCCATATTGGGGATCGAGCCTACAACCCAGGCATGTGCCCTGACTGGAAATGGAACCGCAACCTCCTGGTTCATAGGTCATCGCTCAACCACTGAACCACGCCAGCTGGGCTTTCTGAATTTTGAGGGAGATGCGGTACTCAGGGTGAAGGGCATGGCGCTCCTCAGGGCTGAAGCAGCTCATGGTACCAGAGACATTGCCTGCTGCTGCCACAGACCAAGCAGCCCGCACACAGTTCGGACTGATAAGGAGAGATCATTCTTTTTTTTCTTTTCTTTTTTTAAATTCCTCACCAGAGAACATGTTATTTTTAGAGAGAAGGGAAGGAGGAGAGAGAGACCGAGTAGTTGTCGCCTGTACATGCCCCAACCAGGGATCAAATCCACAACCTAGGTATGTGCCCTGACTGGAATTGAACCCTCAACCTTTCAGTGTATGGGACGACATTCCAACCAACTGAGCTACACTGGGGCAAAGAGAGACCATTATTACATTTTTGAGTCTTATCTTGCAATTTCATTAGCCAAATGAGCATTTTCTCTGCTTCTGTCATCTTAGATGCTCATTTCCCCTGCTCCATGTCCAAATTAATGGAAAGCAGAGTGCAGGGTAAGTGATTGTGTATTCTTTTCTCTGAACAGGACTTAAAAGAGGAGATTGATATTCGACTGTCCAGGGTTCAGGATATCAAGTATGAGCCTCAGCTCCTTGCGGATGATGATGCAAGACTGCTGCAGCTGGACACCCAGGCAAATCAGAGTGTGTGGCATTCTCTTGGAAAATACTTCAGGGAGGAGTCCTGCAAGTTCAGAATTCCTTTGCTCTCAGAGTTGTAACATAGCTGCTGGCTTTGTGTTACTGGGTATATGACATGTGGAGGGCAGGGTTTTAGCTTGGCGTTTAGAGACTTTTTTGAGGGTTATATCTGAGACCACTCTCTCAACAGGTTGCTACAACTACTTATACAGGATGAAAGCTCTGGATGCCATCCGTGCCTCTGGTAAGGGCTACTTGACGGGCCATTCGGGATCCTGAAAGCTCATTTAGGGAAGAGGGGGAGGAACCCACTTTATGTATGTTAGAATTTGTCCTTACTGCACTCTCTCTGGTTCATAGGAATTTTCCTAGTTTTGTGAGTATTGGGTGACTCTTTTGCATGAGAAAATGATGTAGACAAGTTATTTCTTCTCCAAAGAGTCTGAATTTGTTTTGTTCTTTAGACCTTAAGTTTCATGAGCTGGGTGGTGGCAATTTGCTTGTTTTCTGCAAAAGACAAGCTCTTTTGCTAAGCCCCAGATAGATTATTCTTTACTTCTTTTATTCTATAACCATTATCATATATACTCTGTCTCTACTAAAACATAGTTTATGTCTTAAAGCCAGGGTAGATATGTAGGGGGGTAAATAGGAGGGTAACACGATTGTGTACCATTGGTATAGTTACAGTTGTGTTGCCACCACCAAATGACAACTCAGACACAGCTCTATACCTCTGGTCTTCTTAATTCTTTAGAACTTTCCCATTTCTAAGTTTGGGGAATTAACTAGAAAGAGTAACAAATGGAAGAAGGGGTGGCATTGTGCTATTATTTATTTATCTCCTCAGAAATCCCATTTCATGCTGAAGGCCGGCATCCCCGTTCCTTAATGGGCAAGAATTTTCGCTCCTACCTGCTAGATCTTCGAAACACTAGTACTCCTTTCAAGGGTGTGCGCAAGGCCCTCATTGATACCCTGCTGGATGGCTATGAAACAGCCCGCTATGGGACGGGGGTAAGCTGGGTTGCCACTAAAGGGAACTAAAGGGATCCCCACACTAAGAGATCCTCACTCTCCCTTCCTTTTTCCTTAGGTCTTTGGCCAGAGAGAGTACCTGCGCTATCAGGAGGCCCTGAGTGAGCTGGCCACAGTGTGAGTTTAGAGGGGAACATGTCAAAGGGGACTGGTTAGAGAATGTATAGTAGGCTGGACTGCTTCCATAGCGAGATGGCCTCCATAAAGCAATGTGAACAGAATCCATGATGACGTAAGAGTGTCAGGTCCCAGACAATTAGAACTGCCTCTCGCTCACATTGGAAAGCAGATGCGCATCAACAAGCTAATCGGCGAACCTTCTCCTGCTTTTGTACACCTCTTTTTTAATTGGTGGAAAAAAGAGTAGAGTTTTTCAGCACACAGAGATGCCTTCTCTCCCAGGGTCCTCCTTCAGTGCCTTGGTCTGATAAAATAAGATTTAAATGCCACCCATTTTTAGTACTACTTGAAGCATTAGTAACCTCTGAAACATAGGACATCACTGTAGAGTCCCCTGATGAGTATGTGTGTTATAGGAGAGGAATCATGACTTTCTGGGAATGTTATAAATATGTACTAACATAGTTTCATTATGTTGCTTATGCAAATCTATAATAATAAAAGCATAATATGCTAATTGGACCGGACAGCCCAACAGCAGAACAACCGTCCCGGACAACATTCCGGATGAAGACGGGGCTGCAAGGGCCTGCCCCTTGCACGAATTTTGTGCATTGGGCCTCTAGTGTTAAAATGAAAGGGTAAAAAGGATAAGCCAATCTAGAATAAAAAGTTAACAGCATGAAAAGAAAGAATACATGTTTTCTGATGTGTTGAGTATGCATCTTTCTCAAACGATAAGGGTTATGTCTGTCCTGTCTTTTCTCTTTTCCTAAGAATAAACCACCTCGTTCCTACTAAAAACTACTAGCAATGGTAATGAAAATGAGCATGTGGAAAGGATGGGAAAGGGCATTTGGTCTAGAAGTCAGGCAGAAGGCCTGTTCAAAACTTTTTTTCTTTTAAAGACAAATATTTTATGACTCCGTTACTTGAGATGCTTAGAGCAGTTAAATTCATAGAGATAGACAGTAGAATGGTGGTTGCCACAGGCTGGAGGAAAGGAGGAATAGAGAGTTAATAGGTAGAGGGTTTGTTCTGCAAGATGAAAAAAATTCTGGATATTAGTCACACAATAATGTAAATGTACCTAACACTACTAAACTGTAAACATTTAAAAATAGTTAAGATGGGCCCTGGCTAGAGTGGCTTATTTGTTTGGATTGTTGTCCTGTCCACGGGAAGGTCACAGGTTCAGTTCCTGGCCAGAGGCACATACCTAGGTTGTATGTTCAGTCCCAGTTGGGGCAGGTACAGGAGGCAAACAATTCATGTTTCTTAAGTCAGTATTTCTCCCTCTCTCCCTTCCTTCCTCTAAAAAAATCAATAAGGCTCTAGTAATCTGTAAAATAGTTAAAATTTAAATACAAAAAATAGCAACTTTTATGTTTATTTTACTATAAAAAATTTTTAATTCAGTCTCTTTGATTTCTAGCTTCTAGAAAGGTTCAATGGATGTAGTGAAAAATAGTATAGGCTCTGAGACCTGACTAACTTAGGTTTGAATCCCAGCTTTCTGTCACTTAATAGCTTTGTGACCTCAAGCAAGTTACTTAATGGACCCTCAGTTTCCCAACCTGAAAAATGAAATGATCCCACAATGTAAGAATATTGAGATATTAGTAAATTAGATGTGAGGAAAGCACCAAGTTTAATGTCCTAATGTGATCAGTACTCAGTAGTTACTTTTATTCTTGTTATTTGATATTCCATTCTCAAGAGATTCTCTCTGGACTGGGAAAATATTAGCAGCATACACACATTAGGCGACTCACCAGAATTAAAAGTTTTCTTTAAGAGTAGTGAGATGAGCCGAAACCGGTTTGGCTCGGTGGATAGAGCATCGGCCTGCGGACTGAGGGGTCCCGGGTTCGATTCCGGTCATGGGCATGTGCCTGGGTTGCGGGCACATCCCCAGTGGGGAGTGTGCAGGAGGCGGCTGATCAATGTTTCTCTCACATGGATGTTTCTATCTCTCTCCCTTCCTCTCTGTAAAAAATCAATAAAATATATTATTAAAAAAAAAAAAAAAAGAGTAGTGAGATGAAAAGGTTGGGCCAGAGGCAGGGACTCAGTGGGAAAATTGGTTACTCTGCTATTTCTAAGCTGCCAGGTAGGATTTTAGTAATTAGTTTATAAAATAGGATAGAGACCTTTTGTGCTACAACTGCATTTATGGGATGGATGAGCCTCGAATTCTGTTCTTTCATTAGTCCTCATTCTGTCTGTGACCTGCCCTCTGTGTTCTTCAGGGTCAAAGCACGAAGTGGGAACTCCCAGCGACAGCATCAGTCAGCAGCCAAAGACCTAACCCAGTCTCCTGAAGTCTCCCCAACAACCATCCAGGTGACATACCTCCCCTCCAGCCAGAAGAGCAAACGTGCCAAGCACTTCCTTGAATTGAAGAGCTTTAAGGACAACTATAACACACTAGAGAGCACTCTGTGAGGGCGCTCAAGGACTTGCTGTGGATGGAGCCAGAGAGACTGCACGGTGCTTGCTGGGTGCCCCTCAGGTCATCTGGATCAGCAGGCCCAGACGGATCAGCTGAAGCTCCCGGTCGTGTCCACAGCTCTTAGACCTCATGCCTAGAGAATCATTCTCCAAGCCTTCCTTATGGCCAGTTTCAAAACACCAGTTAAGACTTTATTTTCCCTTGGTAGCACTTTTTTTCTGGAGTTGAATTAAGATGTTTTTCTTAATGTTTCTGTCAGAGCTTCCTTAAAAATCCTCACTTGGTTTTGATCATAGTTCATCTGCCCCTTTCTAGACTATAATCCCAAGGGTGAGAGTTGGGGTGACAGGGGAAGAATGGTCAGACCAATGCACTGGTCTGACTTTATAAATTAATAAAATGAACAATTAAACAATAAAGTATATGATTCATTCATTTACAGTTGCCTTTTAGTAAAACAGGCATATGGTATGTTCTCTGCACCTGCCTCAGGATACAGCATGAGGATTTGCCTTCAGAGAATTGATAGGACTGGACCCTGGATCTGGGACCATACAGATATTCCTTGGGATCCCAACAGAAGAAATCTTAAAATTGGGACTCTGGTCCTTGCTCATAAAATTGCCTGTGTCACAAATAGAACACAAGAACCAGGATTCTTTCAGGTGTCTCGGGCATCAGCCCAGGTGACCAATCTACTCCTACCTGTAGGGTCATTGTTGGAGTCAAAAATGTTGCTATGACTACTGAAACCTTGGTTACTGAACCAAACAGAAAGAGCCTGCTCAGTCTCCCCAGACCACATCAGACAAAGTCTATAAACATGTCTACGGAAAACCTGGCAAAGACAGAAAGCGTATGCAGAGTTTGAAGGAGAAGCTGGGGTGGAGGGGATTTTCCAGATAAGTTTACCAGGAGTGGCCCTTCTGAGAGAGGCCCTTGTAACAAGGATAGTAACAGAAGTGGGAGACTGTATCTGGCACACACTATGCCTGGCTCATAGTATTTATGTGTGTCATAACTTCTACCTATGCTCTTTGATCCGTTCTGAAAGGCATAGACCTTTCTTCCCACCTCCCCTAGGAAATTAGCCCCTCTCAAAAGAGAAAGATCTGTGTGTCTCCCACTAGAGCAGGGCACTAGGGGTGAGGAACTGGAGATAGAAAGCAGATCAACAGAACTCCCTTTTCTTGCAGAGTTTTCAAAGGTACCTGATACTTAAGAAGATGATTAACAGGTAATCTCTGCTTCTATTTCTTCCCTTACTCTTCAGCTTAACCTTTTACCCTCTTGTACTCCCTGAGCCATCTCTCAGCTCTGGATCATCTTTCTAGGGGCTCATCAAGAAGAAAAACAGGCCCTAACTGGTTTGGCTCAGTGGATAGAGCATTGGCCTGCAGACTAAAGGGTCCCAGGTTCAATTCTGGTCAAGGGCATGTAGTTTGGTTGCAGGCTCGATGCCCAGCAGGGAGGGTGCGGGAGGCAGCTGATCGATGTTTCTCTCTCATTGATGTTTGATGTTTCTAACTCTGTCCCTCTTCCTTTCTCTCTGTAAACTCAATAAAACATTTTTAAAAAAAGGAAAACCGGTGTGAAGGGGGCCAGAGATAGCCTCCTAGTGCCCACTATGTTAAGCTGTGTAGACAACAGTGATTGTTTTTTAATCCTCACTAGAGGTCATGCTTATTGATTTTTTAAAGAGAAGGGAAGGGAGAGGGCAATGTTAATGTGAGAGAGAAACATCAATCAGTTGCCTTTCCAAAGGTGCCCAGACTGGAGATCAAACCTGCAACTTAAATGTGTCCCCTGACTGGGATTCGAACCCACAACCTTTGGTGTATGGGACAATGCTCCAATCAACTGAGCAGCACCAGCCAGTGCCTAGACAATGGTTTTTATTGTCCCTTACCATTCTCTAAAGGAAAATCGGAGTTTTTGTTGTCTTATTTTTATTTACTTTTTAAATGTTTTTAATTGATTTTTAGAGAGAGAGGAAGGGAGAGGGACAGAGGTAGAAACATGGATGAGAGAGTAACATCATTGATCGGCTGCCTCCTGCACACACCCCCACTGGAGATCGAACCCACAACCCAGGCATGTACCCAGACCAAGAATTGAACCAGCAACCTCGTGGTTCCTGGGTCCACACTCTACTGCTGAGCCACACCAGCTAGGTTTTTGTTTTATATTTTATTTTATTTATTTTTTTTATATATATATATTTTTTTTTATTGATTTTTTACAGAGAGGAAGGGAGAGAGATAGAGAGTTAGAAACATCGATCAGCTGCCTCCTGCACATCTCCCACTGGGGATATGCCCGCAATCCAGGTACATGCCCTTGACCGGAATCGAACCCGGGACCCTTCAGTCCGCAGGCCGACGCTCTATCCACTGAGCCAAACCGGTGTCGGCTGTTTTATATTTTAAAGAGAATGCAAGTATTTGTTGCCTGGCGTTGTACTAATCATGTGATAGGTATGCAGTATTTGTTGAATGGGTGTGAAGATTCAAAAGCCTAGGCTGTATATATCCTTTACCTGGAGGAACTTTTTAAAAAGCACAGGTACGCAGTCCTGGACAGTGTGGCTCAGTGGGAGTATCATCCTGTGCACCAAAAGGAGGCAGGTTTGACTTCTGGTCAGGGCATATACCAGATTGTAGGTTTGATCCCTGCAGGGGGCAACCAATTGATGTTTCCTCTCTCTCTCTCTCTCTCTCTCTCTCTCTCTCTCTCTCTCTCTCCACCCCCCTCTCTCCTTCTTTCTCCCTCCCTCTCTCTCCTCCCTCCCCCTTACTCTCTAAAATCAATAGTTAATAAAAGTGAAAAAGTAGAAACCACCCAGCTAGGTATATTCTGATACAAAAATGCTAGGCAGCTTTTAAACAGAATGAAGCAAAACTTCTGTGTGCTGATATGAAAAGTCCAAATTGTTAAGTCATGCTGCCTATATAAATATGCTTTTATGAAAAAATTAAAAGATGTATTTGCTGGTATCTGATATAAACATTTTCTGGAAAGATACACGAGAAACTGATAGCTTTGTACTGGAGCAGAAGAATGAAGCTTTCACACTATATTTCTGTATGAATTTAATTTTCTAGTAATCTGTACTTGATTTAAAAAAAATCTCTGGGGCCCTAGTTGGTTTGGCTCAGTGGACAGAGCATTGGTCTACGAACTGAAGGGTCCCAGGTTCGATTCCAGTCAAGGGCACATGCCTGGGTTGCAGGCTCGATCCCCTGGAAGAGGCGTGCAGGAGGCAGCCAATCAACGATTCTCATCATCGATGTTTCTATCTCTCCCTCTCCCTTCCTCTCTGAAATCAAAAATATTTTTTAAAAAATCTCGGGGGTTATCTGAGCAGAGGATACATATATGTATGTATTTATGTAGGCATATATGATGCATATGTGTGTTCCTTTTATGCATTAAAAAAACATTAATCTTCCAAAAATATGTCTAGTCAGGACTGAGAATCACCGGTATGAGGGAAGGAGTTCATCCTTAGATTGGATTTGATATGCAGGTCTGCTAGTAAGTAACCTTGGGCAACACACCTGAAATTTCAGTTTCCTTGTCTGTATATAAAAATTAATATCTATGGTACATGCTTACTATGATGATTAAATGACAAAATGTACTTTATACAAGGTTCTAAGTCTGTTCTAGGTACCCTTTCAAGGAGTTGGCAGTCTTCTGACACTATCACAAAGATTTTGGTGAAGAAGCAACCACACTGTTCTAGTCGGTTTGGTTCAGTGGATAGAGCATCGACCTGCGGACTGAAGGGTCCGGGGTTCGATTCCAGTCAAGGGCACATGCCCAGGTTGCGGGCTCAATCCCCAGGAGGGGGCATGCAGGAGGCAGCCAATCAATGATTCTTTCTCATCATTGACGTTTCTATCTCTCTCTCCCTCTCCCTTCCTCTCTGAAAAAAAAAAAAAAAAAAAAAAAAAAAGAAGCAGACACACTGATGGGGTTTTTGTCTCCATTCCTAACTGTAACCCATTCTAACCCTACCTCTATACCTGGGGCAGGTGGCGAAATGCACACACTCTCTGTCTGTGGCAGATGACATTGAGCCAGAGGAGAAACCCTTATATTACTCTGAGGATTCAGGATGCCATGGTACAGGAGCTGGCACTGGCCAACAAGCAACTATTGATGGTGAGTTCTGGCAAGGACGACCTTAAGTCTCGTCCACTACTGCTCTGTGCTATGCGCACTGCGGTTCCCAAACTCTCAATCTCTGCTCTTACTCAACCTGCCATACTTTCCCGAGGTTTTCACTATGGCACCAGAGCAATAACTCTTTAACTCTTAAATGCCTTAAGCACCTTTTTACTGAGCGATTCTTTGCATTCAGCTCCAGATGGAACATTACAAAGTTTCAAAGTTCAGTCTAGTCCTTGCTCCTCTCATCTTGGCAAGACTCAAAACTGCTTTAGTGCCCAGCACCTGCCTCTCAAAATCTCTCTCCCTGGGGTCCCCAATTGTTGTCATGTTACCAACTTTGTATCCCAGGTGCCTAGCAGAGTTCCTGGTTTATTATATGTTCTCAGCAAATATTTGCTCAACATGGGGCTTCACCCTGGAGAAAAAAATTAGATAAGCTTCTCCTTCAATGGTGTAGCCTCTATGTTCCTGCCTCGCTTTATGTCACAGCTAAGTCCAGACCCAAGAGGACATGATAAAACAATGGGAAAGCAACCTGGGAGAGAGAATGAGAAAGAGGGGTAAACAGAGGGCAACATCATACTGTGGATGAAAAGGGGCCACTTACTAAAACTGGCAAGTTCAGGGAAGGCCTGCATACGGTAGCCTTACAAACTCAGAGACTTAAAATAACCGCAAAGAATGGCCTGAAATTAAAACTTTTTAATGAGCCTGCTTGAGTGGCTCAGTTAATTGAGTGTTGTCCTGTGCACTGAAAGGTTGCCGGTTCAATTACTGGTCAGGACACATACCTGGGCTGTGGGTTTGATCCCTGGTGGGGGCACATATGGAAGGCAACTGATAGATGTTTCTCTCTCTCTCCCGCTTCCTCTCTCAAAGTATGATCTCCGGTAAGGATTAAAAAAACAAAACAAAACTTTTTAACTAAAAAGTTTATGGTGGGTGATCATGTCCTAGAATAGAATCTTCCCTGAAAAAGATCAATTTTCACCTTAGTTAAGTCTGTCAATTGTCTTTTTGTACCTATGATAACATACCTTTAGAATGTCATAATTCACTTTAAATTTTTTTTTTTTTTTTGGAAAGGAAGGGAGAAATAGAAACATTATTGATGAGAGAATCATTCATCGCCTGCCTCCTGCAGGCTCCCTACTGAGGATCAAGCCCTCAACCCAGGCATGTGCCCTGAGCAGGAATCAAACCATCACCTCTTGGTTCATAGGACAATGCTCAACCACTGAGCCACATCAGCCAAGCCAAAATAATTTACTTTTTCCGGATCCCTCAAAGTAGAGCTACTGAACCAAAGTGGAGACCACAAATCTCCTCATTGTTATTGATCATTGTTGACTTAATTTTTTATCCAATCCTAAAGGTTCCCTCACCCCCACTTTGCTTTCTCCCACCTTCTAATCTATCACCAATGAATTTCATATAACCCCTTACGCCTTCTGTTTTGATTGTAATGTATAAAATAAGAAGTAAAACTCCCATTCTCTGAAGCATTTTCTCAGTCCATTGAGTTTTGTCTTTCCAGCAATTCTCATCAGTTTGGCTCAAATAAACTCAAAAAAAATTTTCTACAGCCCAGCCAGTGTGGCTCAGTGGTTGAGCTTTGACCTATGAACCAGGAGGTCACCTTTCGATTCCCAGTCAGGGCATGTGCCTGGGTGTGGGCTCCATCCCCAATGCGGGGCATGTAGGAGGCAGCCAGTCATTCTCTCTCATCATTGATATTTCTTTTTCTTTTTTTTTTTAAATATATTTTATTGGTTTTTTACAGAGAGGAAGGGAGAGAGATAGAGAGTTAGAAACATCGATGAGAGAGAAACATCGATCAGCTGCCTCCTGCACATCTCCCACTGGGGATGTGCCCGCAACCCAGGCACATGCCCTTGACCGGAATCGAACCTGGGACCCCTCAGTCTGCAGGCCGACGCTCCATCCACTGAGCCAAACCGGTTTCGGCTCATCATTGATATTTCTATCTCCCTCGCCCTTCCTCTCTGAAATCAATAAAAATATATTTTTAAAAAATTCTCTACAGGTTTGAATGTTTCTTGTGTTGACAATATTCTGTTGTGCCCTTCCCACCAGGTCCGTCAAGCCGCCCTGCACCAGCTGTTTGAAAAGGAGCATCAGCAGTACCAGCAGGAACTAAATCAGATGGGCAAAGCTTTCTATGTGGAAAGATTCTGATGACATCCGAAACACCGTCCTTCCATTTTCTTCATGCCCACTAACCTAATCTTCTCGAGCTCCTGCCACCTTGAACTTCCTTCCCAAAACACACCTGGATCTAGTTATCTGCCCACAACTTAAGGTGGTGCTTCTACTCTCGCCTCTCAACCGCCTGGTGCTATTTGGGAAACCATCTATGAAAAACTGAAAGAAAAAACCAAAACACCAAGAGTGACACCTTGTGGTCAGAATGAGAGATGTAGTGTTGATGTAAGGTGGTGAGGGAAGATGGATAGACAATGTGAGAGAATCCTGATTTGGTTTAATAAATAAGCTAGCTCTTAAAGCTTCAAACTTAGTTCCTGGCCGGCGTGGCTCAGTTGGTCGCAGCATCATCCCATACATCAGAAGATGCTGGGTTCAATTCCTGATCAGGGAGCATACCCAGCTTGCAGATTTGATCTCCAGTTGGGGCCTGTTGCTAGAGGCAACAAATTGATGTTTCTCTCTCACATCTGTTTCTCTCTCCCCCCCCCCCTTCCCACCCTTCCTTCCTGTCTCTAAAAAAATCAATTAAAACCCTGGGCAGCCCTAGCTGGTTTGGCTCAGTGGATAGAGCTCGGCCTATGGACCAAAGGGTCCAGGATTCAGTTCCAGACAAGGGCATGTACCTCGGTTGCAGGCTTTTCCCCGGCCCAGGCCCTGGTCAGAGCTCATACAGGAGGCAACCAATCAATATGTCTCTCTTACATTGATGTTTCTGTCTTTCCCTCTCCCACTCTCCCTAAAAATCAATGGAAATATATCCTCGGGTGAAGATTAACAAAAAAACCCTGGCCAGGGTGGCTCAATTGGGCTCAGTTGAGCATCATCCCGTGCACCAAAAGGTTACTTGTTTGATTCCCATTCGGGGCACATGCCCGGGCTGCAGGCAAGCGTGCAGAAGGCAGCCTCCCGAACGCCTGCCCCACTGGGGCAGAGATCGAAACTGCAACCAGGTACCTGCCCTTGACTGGAATTGAACCCGAGACCCTTGGGTGCTTGGGCTGAAGTTCTAACCACTGAGAAAAACTTGTCAGGCTCCACTAATATTTTTCTATACACTTGGACAAGTAACTCTGAATGTAGCTATTAATCCACAGCCACTGTGGTGCTTGAGAATCAAGAGGTCTGGGTTTTAGGGTTTTTTGTTTGTTTGTTTTTTAATTTTGTTTTATTGCTTAAAGTGTTAGTTCATATGTCTCCTTTTTTTTTTCCCCTTGACCTTCCCCCGGCCTCCCCTACCCCACAGTGTCTTGTGTCCATTGGGTTTTAGGTTTTGAGTGAGCCAGTTATTGTGAGATCTTGGGATAAGTCTCTTTCCTCTGGGTCTCAATTCCCACTTCTGCAAATGATAGGATTCCAATCTCAAATGCCTTCAGACATAAGGAAATAAGTACTTGTGGAGTTTATAGGGGACAAGAAACAGCATTAAGTCTACAAATATTTAAAATTTGAAAAATACTGAGAAGTACTGATTAATCATAGGCATCTATAGGCCACAAAGAACCTTACTTTACATTCAAATGTATGTAAAAATCCACTTTACATTCGAATGACATCCCAAACCAGAGAGACCCCGCCAAAAACATTCCCATCTCCCACCCCTTCCCCTTTGAGAACTATTAGCTTGTTCCTTATATCTATGGAGAGACCCCCATTTTGCAGGCAGTAACAGTTGCCAGAACACACCATCACTCTCTGATGTAATCTCCATACACACTTTTTCCTTTTCTCTCACTTTGCCGTCAGCATCCAATTGGCCAGTCATCCTTCACATTGATCTTTTTCTGCCCTCGACTCCATACGGCTATGTCTTCACTGCAAAACACACCTTTTCCCTCCCTTTTCCCAAAAGTCTGTATCACGCACCAGGTGCCATCTAGGTCTAGGAACACCTGGCAGGAAGTCCCTGCAGCCTGCGGAGGAAAGAGCAGAGGGCTCCAATCCTAGAGGCTGCATACAAGTCCTGGCTGCCATGTCCCAGCTTGTGCCCTGAAGGGACCTCTGGTAATACAGCGACAGTTACAGATGCACAGAGGGCCCTGGAGGCTCCTGGGCTCGAGAAAATGGGGACCACACACATCAGCTGCAGAGACCGTCCTGACTCCCAATCCAGCTCCGCTCCACCCCAGCCGGGGGAAGCGCCGAGGCCTGGTTCTGGCCTGTGGATGGGAATGATGTGCTGGGCTGGCTCCCTGTGGGCACGGGCTGGGTGGCAGGGTGACTTACTTTCTGCAGTAACAGGAGCTGGCCAGCAGAGGGCGACAGCCTCTGCCGCCTCCCAAGGCAGGAAGCTGGGCGGAAACCACACCTGTTCCCCTTGAGCAGGGGCAAGGGGGAGGCTGAAGGATGGCTTTGGGGCCAGGTGGGCACCCAGCTCCCCTGGGAGGCCTGTTCTGCCTACCACCCTGCAGACGGTTCCCCTCTGGTGGCCGCACTGCACAGGCTGAGCCCTCCAGGTGCAGGACGTCAGCACAGACTGGGTGTTCTCGGCATTTCCTCCTGGAGAGGGGAGGGAGGGTGTGGGGGCGGAGTGCCACCTGGTGTCTGCACCCCTCAGCCTAAGGGGGTCCACCCCCGGCCCCTCCCAGACTGGTTTGAGGACCTGGGGCTGCAGGCAGGACCTGGGGAACTGGTGACCGGCCGGGCCGGGCTCAGCAGGTCCCTGGGGCTGCAGGGGAGCGCTGAGGGTGCCTGTGCTGAATGGGGGCCCAGGGGATGAGCGATGCTGCCACGGAGCTGGGGGGCATCGGGCACTTGGACCAGGAGGCGCTGGGGCAGAGCCACGGCTCAGAGCGAATGCAGGCAGTCTGCTGGTTTGCAGACCCCGAATCAATTTCATTTCGAGGTAAAACAAAATCTGCCAGGAGAGGCAGGCGGCGGAAGCCAGACGGGGAAAGTCATGGCACTTTGTAATCTAAGCCACAGACGGCGAGGGGAGGGGGGTGTTCTCCACGCAGGGCCCTCGCACCAGTGCAGGGGGACTCCGCCAAGGTTACCAGCTGGGAGGGACCTTGGGACAAAGAGAGCAGCCGCCCGGAGGCACTGATGCCGTGACTCCCCGTGACCCTGCTGGGGGTGGATGGGGGGGGTGAGGGGAAGGGTGAAGCCCATCAGAGCAAACGGCCGCTTACCCAGAGGTCACGGGTCAAGGAGACAGAGGCTCTGGGCGGCCCAGGGTCCATTTCCAGCTCCGTCCTTTTACTGCTGTGCACCCTCCAAGGAAGAAGTCACTCGCCCTCTCTGTGCCGCAGTAGCTTCACCTGTGCAATGGGCGCGTGAACGGGGGCGGGGCCACGTGATCTGCCGGAAGTGAACACTGTGGGGTTATGTTAGGAAGGACGAGGGGGCACCTGAAGATGGAGGAGAGGCCACATGAAGACGAGTGGCGATTGAAGGGATGGGGCCAGGAGCCAAGGAGCCCCAGGAGCCCCCAGAAGCTGACCAGGGGAAGGACCCTGCCCTGGAGCCCTCCGGGGGAGCACAGCCGTGGACGCCCTGATTTCAGATTCTGGCACCCAGATGGGGACAGCACTTGTTCCTGTTGGTTTAGACCTGTCTGTAGTCATCTGAGCCGCAGCCTCAGGAAATAGACCCCTCCTTTTGGGGTTTTACTTTATTTTATTTTTTATTGATTTCAGAGAGGAAGAGGCAGACAGAGAAACATCAATGATGAGAGAGAACCATTGACTGGCTGCCTCCTGCAAGCCCCTCACTGGGGATTGAGCCCCGGCATGTGCCTTTGACTGGAATTGAACCTGGGACCCTTTAGTCTGCAGGCCGACACTCTATCCACCGAGCCAAACCGGCTAGGGCTCCTTTTGGGGCTTTGACCGGGTTCTGGGAACAGCTGAGCCCGTGGCAGGGGAGACCCCCCAGCCCCCACCCCAGACTTCTCACTGCAGGGCTCACGGGGAGATCATCCCTGTGTCTGCCTGGGCCCTGTCTCCTGCTCCCTGGCGCTCCTCCGCAGCGACAGTGCAGTGGGCACACCAGGCAGGCTGCTTGGTGGGAAGCGCAGGCCACGTGGCTCAGGGACTCTCCGCTGCCTTGCCCAGCCCCCGCTGCAGGATGATGCAGGGCACTCCCCAGCCCCGCCCTTACCTCCCTCCCGGGCCTTCCCCTAAGGCAGCGGTCCTCAACCTGTGGGTCACGACCCCTTTGGGTGTCGAACGACCCTTTCACAGGGGTCGCCTAAGACCATCGGAAAACACATATATAATTACATATTGTTTTTGTGATTAATCACTATGCTTTAATTATGTTCAATTTGTAACAATGAAATTGGGGGTCACCACAACATGAGGAACTGTATTAAAGGGCCGCGGCGTTAGGAAGGTTGAGAACCACTGCCCTAAGGAGTCCTGCCTGGGCCTAGGCCTGGGCTTCCTGGAGCACCTGATTGACAGGAGCCCACAACTGGGTTGCCGTGCCCATATTCTAGATGCCAAGACTGAGGCTCAGAGATGGGGAGCAGAGGTCCTTACCCCCAGCCCACCTCCCCACAACTCAGCCCAGCTCACAGGTGGCTCCCCCAGCTGCCTCCTGGTTGCCATGGTGTCAGAGGAGGAGGAGGAGAAGGAGGAGGAGGAAGAGGAAGAAGAGGAGGAGGAGATTTCTGAGAAGCAATCCCAAAACACACACCAGCTGGCCCCTCCTTCCTCACTCCCTCTCCAATGTCAAAGGCACCCATTTGTGCAGCTGGGCCGGAAAGGAGGTCAAGAAGGCAGAGGGCCCAGGGAGTGGGTTCTGGGACCTCAACCTCACCCAACAGATTTCCTGGACCCGACTCCATCGCCCTCCCACAGTTCCCAGACCAGGCGGGCTCTTTCCTGCCTCCCTGCCTTCACACATGCAGTTCCCTCCATCTGGAATGCCCTTCCTCAGCCTTCAGGTCCCAGCCGGCTTTAACGGCTTTAACTCCACTGGAGAATCTCCCCTGAGTCCCCAGGGGCTCCCCCTGCATCCTGCACCCACCGCGGTCACAGTCACGGGGCGGTGAGGTCTTGGGGATGCTAGCTTTGCCTTTGTAGCCCAGAGTCTGGCACAGACAGGTGCTCAGTAAAGCCAGGAGAGAGGGAAGGAGAAAGGGAGAAAGGGAAGGAGGGAGGGTGGGAGGGAGGAAAGAAACACCTCTAGTGTGATTGGAGAGGATCTGGACCGTGAGAATAGGGCACAGGGCTGGGCACGGAGCAAAGCCCACCCCCTTCCTGCCGCCTCCACTTGAGCCTGGGCTCCAGCACCTTCTGCCTCACCCCGTTTGGAGCCGGCTCAGGGGTCCTCTCTACACCCACAGGCGTGTGTCTGCTGTCCCTT